TCAGTTCAACTCCTCCACGAGAAGGAGAAGGGTGAGTGATGGCAGAAGCTGTCAATCTAGGACAAGAAATGTCTTTATCGTGTCTCATTCTGGTAGACGTTTGTCGAAACCTGCACTTATGACCCACCCGGCAAGTGGAAAATGTACCTCTACATTATCATCATGGTACTCGGACAATGCTACAACCTAGAAATCAAGAAGGATTCGACCTAAAATTCCCACTGGCGATAGTAGAAGCAGCAATAGACCTTCAGTTACTTCCTAGTGTTTGCCTTTAATTTTGGGTACTGAATACATCTATGTTTGCTAAACATGTTTTGGTGGGAGAGTCAATCGACTGCGTCCATGGTTTTGAACTTTTGAACAGCCTAATAAATAAACAGGAGGCCTGGAAATCACTGAGATTGTTCAATAACAACACAAAAATAAATAGTGCTGCTCTTCTTCATTATCATGGCTCTCAACTATTTACTTTTAATCCGTTTATCCTCATCGTCCATCAAATAATTTCCAACAGCATGCAAATGCGTATCTTGGATCTAGATACCGGTTGTCAACGTTTGATTACTACCTTCTCTTTGTATTTGCTTGTTGTTCCTTCATACCTTTCATCCTTACTTCTAGATAGAGCTGGAATTAGGGCGTAACAGCTTTTGTAAACAATGACTTCTCTCGTTGATTTCTATGAACTCAATATACGCCAACACAAACCAACATATCCATCGGGTAGGGGGAATCTTCCCCTACTCGATAGTGATGTCGAATTGCCAGGGAGAGTCATGACTTTCGAGAAATCATCAAGAGAAGTCATTGTTTACAAAAGCTGTTACGCCCTAATTCCAGCTCTATCTAGACTTGGTTTTGCCGGAATTGCATACCTTTCCCGTGCTGGCGGTTCCGATTACGTTTATAAATACCGCGATTCACATTGGCTCCGTCGAGGGCTCCGTTACCTCCGGTGTGGTTACCTTCACAATTCTGTTAGCAGCATTAAGAAGGACTCACTCGTTTTCTCAGAACGGCCGTCCCGGTCGCGTTCTCTCATGTGGCTTTGCCACGGCGAGGAGACGATTTTTGCAAATCCGTCCTCACTCGAATTCAGAACGGCGTTCAGAAGTCGCGTTCTTATCCTATTTTCCTTGCTAGTGGGTGATTTGCCCTTTTATTACCTATCGGGGGTCTCCAAGATTCCAGGTTCGTCTCCTGGCAGGATCGCCAGAAATGTGAAAATCCGCCGATATTAATTATGGGCAAATCACGCACCGCAGCTTATCAATGTCCAACTTACCCGTGCAGCAGCTTGAATCCAAATGACCTTTCACCAACTGTCAGGAAATGTGTATGAAAGGTCATGACCTACCTAGTTATTATCCATCTCATACCAACCAAAACGTTCCGTCACCAGAACGGACGCCGTTTTGTGTCGACTGCCCAGGTATTGCTGATTGCATCTGAAACTGGACTGTCCCAAAAATGCAAAAAGTGTGATAAAAGTGCACGTATTCGTAAAAGCGTTTTGATGTCTTCGGAGCACTTATTGCTTGCATCATAAGGAATAAAGGAATAAGTGCACCGAAGACACCAAGACGATTAGACGTAAACTTGCAGTTTTATCACACTTTTTAATAAGTGAAAACGCGCTTATTAGTCCAATTTGGTGTGAAAAGCGCAATACCTTAGGAGGAAATCAAGAAGCTCTCCCGATGGGAAGCCAACAACATTAAGGTGAAAGTCGGTGAATAAGAGATTGCTCGCGTTGTTTCCGCCTCAGACGTTCGATGATACTAAAAAGATCCGCATTTAAAGAATGTCCATGGGGGCTTTCTTTACCTTGCTCTGGCTGTCCTGTGTAGCCTGCAAAATCAACGCAATGTCCTGGTCCAGGAAGCCATCGTTTTGAAAGTGAAAATGCAGTGTTGAACAGTTTTCCATTTGTATGATATGGAACTGGTCAGGCTGCAGCAAATATTCCGACACTCATTGGTCAAAAGTATCCGGATCTCCTTGACTCCTCAGCGATACCGCCGTCAGGATAGGTTTCCACAGTAAACTTAAACAAACAATAACAAAGTTGTTCTTTTTTCTCACTGTCATAAATCCGGAGAACTTTGAGATTTGGGCGTCATTGATTTTGTAAACATACCCGTCAATCGCCGATTTCTCGCGAATTAAAGCTCAATCTCGAAAATTAACAACACAAACAGGTAGATGAATGATTCCTCTACCATTTAGTATAGCGTTTATTCGAGAGAAATCGGCGATTGGGTTGTTTGTTTACAAAAGCAATTACGCCAAAATCTCAAAGTTCCCCGGAAATGCCAAACTATATCAAGTCACCGTATTGTGAACACCTCAACTTGATATCAATATCATCTCGTTATATCACGTGATATAGAGCGTAATGAGAACGAGGTATTATACACAGACTCTACTTTAAACCTATCAAAAAGCCATAACATTTCACGAATTTATGTTTTGTAAAATGCCTTTTGAGTAGTACACCCAACCGGGGGATGTAAGATTCGCTTACAATTATGTGTGATTCATCATCAGAGGATGTTAGTGGAGACCGCATGAACCGAGGATGCAATATACCTAGCTGCGGTCCGATGTAAGAAAATTGGAGACCGAAAAATGTGGAGTGTATTAGTGAGTGAAATTAATTATGTCGAAAAAATAGAACAAAGGTTGCCGACTAGACTCGAACCACGGACGTTGCGACTATCAGACCTGTGCTTTCTCCACTGCTCTCTCCATGCTTCTGAATATGGTTAGCCGAAAAGCAAACATGAAGCGCTCATTTTCTCGCATGCTCGGCTTCGTATGCTTTTCCTGCTGGAGAGATTCGAGACAAGTGTGTACGTCGTTCTACAATGTTCTACAATGTGCGTCGTTCTACAAGCTTACTGGTATAGTCGAAAGCTGGGAGGGAGACACAGATATCACACACAACATTCATTTTGTAGCTTTTCTTTATGTCATGAAAATTTGAGCTATTGAAATGAAATCAAAATAGGCGTAGCAATATTGACTGTTTTACTTTGAGCGTGTAGTGCTTGTTTGACGTTGTTCAGTGTGCAGTGAGAAAATATCCTTTTCTGTTTTCCGTTTTATCATGCCACACAAGATTTTTTCAAAAACCTTGGTTAATGGTATCTTCCAATATGGATTTTAGTATACATATGGCATATTCAATGAATAAATCTAAAATACAGCGTCCTGTTGAACAAGATAGCTAGAAACGACAGTTTGTCAGAAATTACTTCACGCAAGATTTCAATACCGCCTTCTGTATTCTTGTTCAATTGTAAGAAAAGCATCGTCAAACTGCTTGGCTCCCAATGACAGTTCCTGACAGCTTGTGTCTGGCTCCTTTTGACGTTTATATGTTTCGAGTCTGGGTCTCCCTCCCAGGTCGAAAGCGTAGATGGAACACGAAATAAAAAAAAGGCCAAAAACCATTACATCGCCTGCATGGTCAATTTCTAACATTCGTTGCGATGTTCTCGAACAGAGGATGATAGGAAACGGAACTAACATTGATTGTAATAGATTTTTGGTTTGCGTGTATAAAATCAGTCGTAGTGAGTTTTACAAAAAGACTCAAAATATGTTGTACTGTTAGTCGTCACAAAACACTCATCTTTTGAAGCTGAATCAGCATAAAAAATAAATAAAATCAAAAAAACATGAACAAAAATATATCTGATAATCAAAAACAATCAATAGCTTTGGGGGGTACTTCGTCGTAATCGCCCATTTCCGTTCTATCAATCAGAAAAGATCAATAATATCAATGATTCCACCGTGCACAAATCAATAACAGGTTTGTTCCGATGCGTTAGTTAATTAGCTACAACATAAATCCTATCAGAACTCATTGTTCTCAAAACAATAGAAGTATAAGATTTAGCAGTAGCAGTACAAGATTTTTAACAATTTGTGACTCATTATCAAATCCAACGATGGGTATGGAAAAGTGAATATAGTAAATTTAAAAGTCATCTTGGACATAAATATATAATTTTTTGTTCAAACCCGTTCAGAAAAGAGAGGCAAAGCGCGGGTTGTGCTTAGTAGGACGGAAATTAGATCAAAACCCCAACTCGTTAAGTGTTACGTATAATCAAACTTCCCAAGCTTAAACAATTGCCATTCAATGAAAGTGGCAACCCTTAACCCTTTCGTTTTCGGACAAATTTCCCACTGACTGGTTGGCCTCTGACTATTCCGTTGGGTAGCGACAACTGTCATAGTCCTCACCTCAATAAACAACAATAACTGTGCGAGCCACTAAACTTGTTCCAAGTCTAATGGATTTGTTCACAAGGGGATGATGGCCTTATCTAATTACATTTCGTGCTGCTTTTACTTTCGTGCTCATCGCGGATGAACCGCGCGTCGATCACTGCCGCAGTCGCGCAGCAGTCAGTTTAAATAGTGTATAATAAATAGCAATGACCATTGCGAGCGGCGGATTGGGTATGTACCACCTACCAGATACAACTCAATTACACCGATTCCGGACCGGACCGGACGGACAAAATATTATTTAACAGCGGCGAGCAGCGCCGCATGCAACAAGACGCGATCGCTCGTGGTCACGCCAACTCAGCTCAGCCTATGTTGATGAAGTGGTAAGACACCTAAAGCACATCGCAGAAGCCGGGTTGTTTTGGATTTCGACAAGCGGTCGTCATGGTTGCCGATGCTTTGCAAGGTGATGGAGTGTGGTACGACAATGCGATTTAATTGATATGATCTCGTTTAATTTTATGATAGTCAAATTGGTTCTTGTGAAATGAGGAGCGATTTCGTTTTCATGAAACAGGTGCATAGAACAATAAATTTCGACACTGACGCAAAGGGCTTGATTGGGGATTACTACCATAGCCCTTCGATTGACATTTACAGCCCTTCCCTTGAGATTACGAACCATTATCAGTCCACAGTAGAAGCAAAGCAATAAATCGATCTCTCCATTTTCTTCCAATTTGCAGAAACCCGCCAAAATTCCGCTCCAACATGGAACGGGGACTTCATGATCGGGACCGAGTGGGACTGCAGGATCAGGTCCTACTCGAGAACTACCAGAGCGAAGATGCCTTCATCGATAACCTGAAGAAACGATTCCAGGAGAATCTGATTTATGTAAGTTCGAAAATTCTGCTCACCCCTTTTTAAGAACAAAGCTAAAAAAAAAAATCTAACTCACAGTGTAGCAATAAAAGAAAAGGGGAATAAAGTTGTCGATGTTGGTAAATGAATGTTATTCGATATCATGGGCCCTACGCTTTTCTGCTATCGCTAGCGAGTTTGGATATCAACCGGATTGAATTACTGACATATTTACCGGCTGTTACTTGCGCTGAGAATGCGCGTACCTCGACCGATACTTGTTTTCATGTTTCATTTCACTTTTTTTTCCTCTCTTTCCTGACCACAATATCCGCAGACCTACATTGGACACGTGCTGATATCCGTTAATCCGTACAAAGAGCTTTCCATCTACACAGAAGATGACGTCAAGGAGTACCGGAAGCGACACTTTTTCGAAGCACCTCCACACGTGTAAGTATTTCGAAATTCTTACCAAGCTCACATTCAGGCTGTGTTCCATTTGGTGAATTTTCCTGGTTTGTCAAAAAATAAGTAGAAATACTGCTCCAAAAAGTATGGACGCACCCAGTTTTCAGTGGAATTTTATTTTTATTATAAACTGTTAATATTAGATTAGCACAACAGATCAGGATTATCATTATTCGCTATCTATCGATTGTATGCTAGCTGGCGCACCTTCTTGCGAACGTTCTTCATAAGGGCATGCACTTCTTGGCGATAAGATTGGACACTTTCTCCCAACCCTTTTCAAACTGTTGAATGGTTTCTGCTGCGGAGACATGTTTCCTGAGATGTGCAAAAATCAATTGGTCGAATTTGCGTTCAATTAAGTTGATTCATGTCCTTTGGAACGAATGTTACATTAAAGACTGGAACGCGCAAAAATTGGTAGACAAAAAATCGTTTCTTTCAGTCAAAATTCATATCACAAAAATCTTCTTATATTTCTTTTGGTAGTTCAATTCATATATTTAAAGGAAAAAATGTTCGTTTATTCTTTTGGTTTGCCAAATCCGAACTGTCGTGCCTTCCGCTTAACCCCTGCTATTAAATGTTGCACAGCGGTTTCATCGACCTTATTCGCCGCCGAACGCCAGTTAGATTTAAACTGCTGCTCGTTTTCCATGGATTTATTAGTTTTTTTGAGATTCCGTTTGACCAAGGCCCAATACCGTTCGATAGGGCGGAGTTCTGGGCTGTTGGGAGGGTTGTGGTCTTTGGGTACCACGTTATTCGCATCGTACCACTCGATTGCCTTTTTATCATAGTGGCAGCTCGCCAACTCCGGCCAGAATAGCACAGGTCTATTATGTTGCTTTAGGAATGGTAGCAGCCACTTTTCCAGGCACTCCTGGACGTAGATCTCTTGATTGATGGTTCCCATAGTAATGCAAATGCCACTTTTTAGACCACACGTGCATATGGCCTGCCAGACGAGATATTTTTTCGGGAACTTCAATAGTTTTGAAAATTTCAGCCACCTTCCCTTTTCCTGTCCCGGAAGCTGCTTGAAATCCGCCTTCACATAAGTTTCGTCGTCCATGACGACACAGTCGAACTTTGTGAGCAGATTCGGATACAGCTTTCGGGACCGCTGCTTTGCCGACGTGTTTTGTTTGTAATCTCGGTTCGCCACCTTCACCTTCTTACACGTCGACAACCCGGCTCGTTTCTTGGCCCGCTGCACAGTAGTATGGGAGACATTGAGCTTGCCAGCAACGTCCCGGATTCCGCTTATATTTCACCGCCACCTTCTCAGTCGTCGCTGCCACGTCCGGATTACGATTGCCGCCACTTCTAGACTCCCTGGCGGTCGACAGACGCTCCCTAAACACTTTTAAAACGTTTTTTACAGTCGATTTGGCCACATCCAGCAATTTTGCCAACTTGGCGTGTGAGAACGTCGGATTCTCTTGCTGCGCGAGCAAAATTTTGACACGCTGCTCAACTTGCTTGCTCATTTTGAAAACTGGAGAGCAAACGGTGAAAACTCAACATAGCAACCATTGTATATACACTCAACTTCCAAATTTCAGGTTTTTTTTAATGAATTTTTAACAGAAATACACCAATTTGAAGTTGACCAATTTTTGCGCGTTCCAGACTTTATTGCAGGTATACCATTCTACCGTTGATTTCACGTAATGGCAAGACGCAATAACTTGCCAGAACACAACAGGATCCTTGTGGCTTCGAATCATGGGTAGAAGTCGGTTTTGTATATTTCGCTGTTCATCGAAGCAGTTGTGATGAAAGGTTGCGAAATCTTACCGCAGGCACAAACAACTTGCCAGACCATAGCTTTCTTACCAAACATTTCAAGTTGAATGTATTTTTCAGACTGGTCAAATACTTCCCCTTCTCGCATCGTATAATATTGTGGCCCGCCATGGATTTGTAGTACAATTTCACGTAGGTTTCGTCGTTCATGATTATACAGTTCGAATTCCCAGCAAGCACCGTATCGTACAGCATTCGCACTCTGGTCTTGGTGTTTCTTGTTTTGGACTCCGTTTCGGCTGCTTCTGCGTCTTATAGGTTCGAAGATTCAAACGTTCTTTAGCACGATGAACGTTTGATTTCTACGTGCCAACTTTTTGGTCACATCCCGCTCTGAAAGCTCCTTCTTTTGCTCGAACGCCTCCAGTATAAGTTTATCCAAACGAGGGTTAGCAGGACATTTTCGGTTTATCCACAAACGAGTTATCCTCACTGAAATTTCTGATCGCTGTTCGCACGGCTTTCTCACTTACTTTGTCTATTTTTGCCAACTTTCTTAAGTTTTACGTGAAACAAATCAAAGCAAGGTGTTGCGCAAAGTGGTACCTTACACTTGGAACATTGAATTTTGGACCTCTTATTTTTAGCCTTTGAACTACATAGGCGACAACGACGATAGGTAGTCAACTGTTCCAGTTTATGACTTCCAACATCTGAAAAGCGTAGATTATCTGGTACTCCTTCTTTTTGATAGTTTGAAGACATTGTAGGCTTGTAGAATATCTTGGTTCGCTTTGTAGGCTGCGCTTCCTCGAAGTATAGTTAACAACAAGGTCTCGTGATAACTTCAACCTGAACTGCAGCTGAGTCACGTGATTTCGCACATGGTTGTTAGATGCATACAACAAGTATGCATTCGTAATAGCCAAATCAATGCAGAAATTGAAAATCCGCAGCCACCACCTCTGGCTTCTTCTACCGACCCTATACGAGCTTCTCTTTTGATCAAACCGATCAACTCCGCCCATCCGCTTTGTGTATTCCTGAACCGCTTTCGGACATACGATGGTTTTTCTGGTACCATCATGTTGCTTCCTTTCACAAGTAGCTGTCGCGGTTTTAGGATGGAATGCTGTAGTCAACATTGTTACCATTTTGGAATCTTGCCACATTACAAAAGCAACGTTTTTCTTCAAGCGCCACTTGTACTCCCCTCTCAGGAAACGCTTTCGCCTTTTCGGTTAGGGCTTTCTTTTGTACTTTTTTAGTAGTACAGGTAGGTCCGATCTACTACTGTTCACTGTAGCCGTTGCATAAATTCCGTGATCATATAAGTATTGTAATATACCGTATGAGGCGAAGAAACTATCAAAGGTCACATGACCTTGAAATCCTTCATCAATTAGTTTCTGCGTTAGATTCTTGACTACATTGGCCCCTAGGCCTATAGTAGGAGACTTGTCATCGCGTTTGCCAGTATAAATATCAAACTCAAATACGTAACCAGTCTCACTGTCGGCTCTTGTCCACACCTTATAGCCTCTCTTGATAGGTTTTAGTGGCATATATTGTTTCAATGTCGATCGCCCTTTGAACAGAATCATCGATTCATCAATCGATTGCGATGATGTGGACTGTACTGCAGTGTTCAGTAAATCAAGAAGTAGACGAATCTTGTACAGTTTGTGAAAATGATCTGAATTCCTTGGAGGCATCATACGATTATCATTCAGATGCAAATTCTCTAAGATTTTTTTGAATCTCTTGCACGGCATAATGGAAGCAATATCGTCCGTACGGAAAAATGGATCACTTGACCAGTACAAATCAACACTTGCAAAAGGCTTGAGACCCATCATAATGGTAATCCCTAGAAAAGCTTTGATTTCTGCTTCAGATACCGGTTCCCAGTGTCGACTTTGCTGTTGGTCTGCGTAGATGTTAGTTTGGGTAACTATAAGTTTCAAAATGTCATCGTCGAAAAACTGTGCGAAATAGGCTACAGGTCTTGCATTTCCCGGGACTGCATTCAAGGCTTGCAAACCAACATTATCAAAATTGGCTGTATTGGGATCCTGGGACCAATCGCCTTTTTTCCAGTCAACTTCATCATCGTCTGATTGGTCCACTTGGGAAAAATCTTCGCTTGATTGATCGTCATCCGATTCATCTGAAGCTGATGTTTCGGATAATGCTTGAGTCGTTGGCTTTCCTTATAAATCGGTAACATATATAAACGATATCAGATATGATCCAACAATATCATATAAGGTTAGCACAATGACCCGAATAAATGATTAGACACTTGCAACTGTTTTCAATGCGGGTAATCGTGCGTGGGTGAGGAATCGCTTTTAAATGCTTACGGTTGTGATAACCCGAAGAACACCGTTGTGGTTCATCAATGGATGTGTGCCGTTCAGTCCCACTGCCCTTAGCAGCATCATCTGAATCATCACTTCCAGCGAGAATATCGATCAGAGATGTATCTAGCTTGCTCAAGGTAGAGAGTTCCGAAACAGCTTCCAGTTCATCATCGGACACATCGGGATTATCAGGTAGTCCACAAATTTTCGCCAGCTCTCTTTCAACCTCGTCATCCGACTCTGTGTACGGTATGTTCGACATACTTTTAGCTGAAACGTAAAATAGCATGTAACAGTATTGCGAGCATTTTTCATTGTAGAAAACTGAAACATTTGACATGAACTACAGATCAATGTTTGAAAAAAGTACATGATCTAAGAAAGGAGTTCCAAAACAGTATATTTCTATTGAAAAACTTACCGACTTGTGGGATTTGTAATGAGTTTTAGCTGATATTCGTATTTCCGCTCGAAAATTGCGGTTTGTTTACACAAAAATGACTCTCAAATACTCAGTTTCCACTTGTTCGGGCTCAAAAAAAATTAGTAGTGTTGCCAGATATCAGAAGTAGCCAATGCACGGAAAAAAAACTGCAATGGGATTGTTTGTGTGGAAAAAAAATACAGATTGTTGGTGGCAATATAGTTGCCACTGCCTTCTAAAGGGTTAATGTCAATCCGGGTTCTGTACACCATTCGTGCACAATATTTCGACGTTGTTCTGATGAAAGTCCACGCATTTTGAAACACATTGTTGGAAACAATTAAACCACTGCACATGTACTGAGAGATAAAGGTAAACAACAGGATGAAGCCATAAAAATGAACCAATAATAAATTATTGCGCAATGGCAGCGGTTTCTG